GAATCAACGCTAAATTAAGCCAGGAAAACCAACATATCCCGGCTTAATCCCTTATCTAGGTTTCAAACAACAGGCCCCTGGATTGGTTAATTCTACTTTCGGGCCCTCTCCAGCTGAGGGCCCCACAGAGCCTGGACTCTTTTAAAGCAGCCCCGAAAACTTCAGCCTCTGACTGTTGATCTGAGCCAATTATAGTGGGTTTTTCATATGTTTTTATACTGTGCTCTAACCTGTAGCACTCTGAGATCCAAGCATGAAAAGTGCATTATTATTATTATTATTATTATTATTGTTATTATTATTATTATTATCGATACCATAGGCGCATCACGGAAAACACTTCCTGGATTACTCGGCACAGCACGCGACATCACCAGAGTTTCCCTCTCATATAAAGTCAAAGAAAAGTTGAAGTAGACCTACCTCCTCCTCCTCCTCCTCCTCCTCCTCCTCAGTTTGGTGTCGATCAGAGGAAACTAAATGTTCTTCTCACAGCAGATGAAGTGATGACAGATTGTTTAAAAGGCGCTCAGCTCCGACACACACACACACACACACACACAGCTCACACACAACTCACACACAACTCACACACAGCCGACAGTCTGGAAGAGAAAGGCTGATTCCTCTGAAGGCGAAGGCATGACCCGCCCTTCTCTGCCTCTGATTGGCTTAGCCTCACAGTCTCACCAACCAACCAATGAAGGCAACGAGTACCAGCCAATCAGAGGCAGAGAAGGGCTTGTCATTCATTCATTCACCAGCAGAGGCAAAGTACTGTTTATACTGGAAACCACCTTCAATAAAGTCCCTTCATTTCTCTCTCTGACGTCACCACACAACATGACGCGAGCAGAAATAAAGACAAAATAAAGAACAACAAATAACTAAATGTTGAATACTTCAGAGGGGACACACTGAGTGAAGAACTAATTCATCTCCCCATGAAACTTGTATTTAAAAGATATTTCTATGTTACAAGTTAAATGAGTTCAAATGAGTAAAAATGCACTCATTTTCATACATTTGTCTCGTGCTGTCTCTGTCTGATCTATCGGAGCCTCTCTCTGCATTTCTATCCGAAAACTAATACCATGGATTTAATTAGCTGGTCTCTCAACGCAATTGACCAAATTTTCTCGACAAGGAGACTGGGCAAAGGAGAGCCCGCCTGCCCTGACGGAACGTTTGCAGCCGGATACACGATGGACTCCTGGGAGAAGTGGAGCATCGTGTGCCTGTCGATCCTTTCCGTTGAGGATGCTGAAGACGTCTACATAATTGGAATTATGATAACAGGCATTCTGCTGTTTGGAGTTAGCAGCTTCCTGATCTATCGCAAAGTTCAGAAGACGTTGGCAGCACTTTTGGCAATTGAGAAGCTGCCCGTCATGACTGAGGGAACGTGCAGGGCTGTCAACACTCAGACTCAAGCGATATGTGAGTTCAGTCGCAAGCTGGGTGCGATTCCTGAACTCCTTCGCAAGATGGATGCCAACTTGGAGAAGTTGTCAGCCCGGCTCTGCTGAAACTGGCCACCAATTCGGACATATTGGAAGCAAGCCACCGGGAGACTCAGAGAGACTCAAAGGCAGACGACAAATTGCAGTGTCGGCCTGACCCAAAACAACTGTTACCTTCATTGGCTCTAAATAATCAATAAAATAATAAAATGTTCTTAAATCATGTGAATGATATATGAACGAAGCCCTCTGTGGAAACCTTCAGAATATAGACAGGAATCAAACTGGACAATCTGGTGAATATAAGAGCTGCTGAAGTGGAATTTGTGATTCAGGAACTCATTTTGAGAAAACAGCCTTTAAATAGCTGAAGTGTAAAATTTCATACATTTTATGAAATGTATGTGACTGGCGTGTGTCCGGCAACTGCCTTTTAACAGGCCCAATCCCAGTATTGAGTGGTCTGCCAAACAAGATCTCAAATGGACTGAATCCATTTCTGCTCCTCCTTCTAGCCGTCATGTTCATCAATACAATAGGAAGAGCTTTTCTCCATGACATCTTAGTCTCCTCACACACTTTCACACGTTTGTTTTCAAAGTTGCATTTTCTCTCTCACATGCCCCTCCAGAAGCCGGGTGATATGCACAATGGTGTCTCAGATCAATACTCACCAACAGTTTTCAAGGCTGCGCTCACAAAAGGTGATTTTAGTTGGAATTCCCCACCTGGGAATCAGAGTCATCAAAGCCTTCGCCACTGCTGCTGCATCCTGTTGTGGGAAAAGCTTCAACCCATTTTGAAAACATGCACACAATCACCAAAACAAACTTTTTGCCTTCACTCGGTGTTAGTTCAACGAAATCCATCTGCAAGTGATCAAAAGGTCAAGGTAAACGTTATTATCCCACAAGTGGGAAATTCATGTGGTCACCATTACACATTCCATTATTATACAGCCTATGTAGTGTAAGAATTAATCCCTAATCCAGTAAAAGTGATATACTGCATAAATTGATTAAGAAACAAAGCCATATAACCATCATATAACCATGTTTTATGCATACGTTCTTATAAAACTGAGTGAGATGCATCTATATGTGTTAAAACGCTGTCATACATGTCAAAGTATTCACAATATGAGTTCACATTGTATCCATACGCTAAAGAACACACACATTCAAAGATAACCTATCGTGCTCTGTATAATGATAACACACATATACTCAAATGTTTGTATTACCTGATGCACATTAAAGGATTATATTGCATGAAGGCACAAGGGACCTTATAGAAATAGTCCCAAAGTTTCATATGTTTTTTAAAAATAGTGTGAATCTGAGTTCCAACCTAATGGTGGGAGAGTTTAGGGATTTACAGGCCGGGGGAAAAAAGATACACCATTAAGACATGCCTGGGCATGTTCGGGCATGTCTGGACAAAGGCGAAAAGGCCGGCCACCAATAGGTTCGGGCTCAGGTAGGAAGGGCTAAAGAAAGAAGGTGGAGATTCTCTTGAATCTTCACCAGCATAAAAGGGACAGCTCAGAAAGTGAAACATCAGTCCAGCTCCGGAGCGTGACTCGATGAGTTGTACGTGTTGAAGCTTGTGAACACATTAAACTCGACTGCATCGGACTCTGCCTGTCTCCAGTGTTTCTTTGAGTATTACTTACCTGAATCCAAGGTACCAGATCGACATCAAAGGGCAACTGAGAAGTCAAGTGGAGGACAAGGTCGGGAGCCTACAGGCCCAATTCCAGGCACCGATTTTTGCCTCTACACCTACTGTATAGCATTAAAAACAATAAATACAAAACATTAGAAAAGAAAAACAGGGACAAGACAGACAAAACAGTGAGAACATTGAGGAAACATAACAAGCATGTATGAATAAATAAAATAGTGGCATGCTCACATATATATGCTCATAGTTTAAAGTGCTTAGGAATTTTTAAGTCTATTGTTGTGCAGTCTAATTGCTGTAGGCACAAAAGACTTGCTATACCTTGTGTTCCTAATTTTCCTCTGCAGGATTCTGCCACTTGACCTGTTACTTCTTAAAAACTTCAGATGAAGAGGATGGGTTAAGTCATTTAGAATTTGTTCTGTCTTTTCTAGACTGAGGTCGTTGTACAGTTGAGCTACAGACACCTGATCAACTCCAATGATCCTACTGGCTGTTTTGACTATTCGTTGCAGTTTCTTCTGATCCTGAATATACATGTTTCCAAAGGCACAAATAAGGCCAAAGGATAAGACACTCTGCAAGAGAGCTTTGTAAAACATCTGAAGAATACAGCTATCTATTCTAAAATGATTGAGTTTCCTTATAAAAAACATCCTCTTCTGCAACTTTCTGGTCGCATTTTGTGCACATTCATTGAATGTCAGTTTGTTGTCAATCTCAACACACAAATATGTGTATGTTGAGACCCGCTCTACCACTACACCATTGATATTTGAGGGTGGAACTATAATTCCCTTTTTATTAAAATCTATGATCATCTCTTTTGTTTTCTTCGCATTAACCACAAGGAAATTATCTGTACACCATTTAATGAAACCCTGCATCTCCCTCTCAAAACCCTCTAGGGATGCAGTGTCAGACTTTAAAA